TGCTTTGGGCAGTCCCTGGTACTTTCAGTTTCTTCTCCAGCACCGCTGTTCAAATGCACCGAGTCTTCTTCTTCCGTCTTCCTTATTCGATGTTTGGTCTCCTAGTGGTGTTTTTGCCTTTTGTTCGTTTTGTTGGTTTTTTTGCCTTTTGTTAAGGAGCAGTACCTACCGTGGATATTCTTTTCCGTTTTGTTTTTAGCTGTTAATTAGCTGCAGGGTGACCTCAGGGGTTAGTTTCAGCCCAAGATTTGAAGAGTAGCTCAGGGCACTGACCTCAGGGAAGTCCAAAAGTCTCAACCTGTACAGCAGGTCTGTTTCTCTTTGTTTTCTTACATCTCTATTGTGAATTGGCTGAAGGCTTACAGGGCGGATCGGTTGTCCAGTCAACAGTTCATACACATTTTGTTTCAGGTCATTGAGGGCCATCTCCAGAAGTAACCTCACTCATCCCACTTCCTCCCCTGTGTTTCCTGTTCCAGTTCCTCCTTTCCTAACCCTTCCTGCCTTCTGAACTTGGGCCCTGGGTAAAGGCTGTCCTTTTGATCTCAAAGGACTGGTGGTTCCAAAGTGTGAGTGCGTGTCTAGTGTTAGTGTTAGGCATCATGCAAGGTAAAGTGCCACTGTTTGGCATCGTGCAAGGTAAAGTGGAGGGGCAGTGGAAAAGAGAAAGGCCTTCGTTCAACGATGGATGGACACAGAGGCTGCATCGATGGACTCTGACCTAAGAACAGTTGTGAAGATGGTGCAGGACCGGGCAGTGTTTCCTTCTGCCGGACATGGGGTTGCTATGAGTCAGGACAACAACAACATGTTTGGCTGAAAATTGAGCCATGGGCGTGAGCTCATTCCCAGACCTGAAGAATGATCAGACTACTCTGTTGTTTTGTTTGGGGGCGTTTAGGGTCCCTTTCTCACCCTACACACTTCCTGAGAGACCTCGCCTGGTGGAGTCAGAGTGTGGCTCGTGGACGATCCCAGGGGTTGGTGACATCCCACTGGTAAGTGATCTCAGTCCCAGGACCCTCTTCAAGTCCCTGTGGTCCCCTCAGGGTATCCCACAAGCCTACCACCTCTGGTTCCCGGTATCCCAGGAGTAGAACTGGGTTTTCAGTGGATGCCTTTCTTCAGGCATCACCAGGCCTTTCTTCCAAGGCACCTCTGGGTAGACTCGACCGTCCTACCTTGCCATGAGCCACTGTCGATCGCAGTCACCGTTTGCACCGCCCATCCCACCAGCACCTCACTGGAATTCAGCATCGTCCCCAACCTCTTCTTCCTACCTAACCCCCCACCCTTGATCTACCCTCCCCTTGATTCGCCCATGCCCAAGGGTGGCCTCACCCTCTGCACTGAGGGAGTATCCTCCCCACCAGACCCATTGCCATCCTTCCCCGTTCCTGCCCTGTGCCCAGAGAGCCCAACCCATGGGTTGCATGGGCCCCTTGCCTTCTGGCTTAGCCCAGGGAAGATGGCAGAGGGATGCTGGGGGGCGGAGGAGAAGGAGGCGGGGGCTTTCTTTCTCCTAGTGGCCAGGCTCCTCTATAGAGCAACCTCTCCCACGCTATGCCTGCAACTGTGGTTCTCTCCAGAGCTCTCCTCCCCGCTCACCCCTCAAGCCTTGGCTGTAGCTGCTCCCCTCTGTGCATGCACCTTTCACAAGAGTGCCTGTGTCTGACCCTGGTTGCTGTTAACTGCTGCCAGGATGGCCACCCACTCAGGACGAGCCCACACGCCACAGAATGGCACACTGCCCAGTCCTGCTCCATCCCACTGTCAGTTGGGATCCATGAGTTTTCCCTGGCTGTTTTTCAGGAGGTCTGGCTTGGTCTGGCTTCCCAGATGACCTTCGACTAACAGCTCTGCTGAAACCTGTTCAGTGTCCTGGCCACACATAAGCCTCCACTGAGGGACCCATGGTGCAAGAGGGCCACTGACCGGGAATCGAGCCTGGTTCTCCTGCATGGAAGGAAATGAATTCCCCCTCGTTCCTGCTAGCCCTTTAAAGTCCTATCCTTCCATTCTTCCTGATGACTTCATTGAGCTATGTCCCATCTTTCCTGACAGGGTCCGGTCGGTGCCCTCTCCTGGACTCTCATCCCCTGGGCTGTCCATTCTCTCTCTAAACGACCCCTACCACCACCCGACCTCACAGCCTCCCTGTCCTTTCATCTCTCGGGTGGCCAAGGAGTCTTTGAAAACACGACATCAGGCCATATCTAACCCCACTCACACACATTCTGATCCCTTCCAAGTCTCCCCTTGGCTATTCAGAAACACACTGAGCTGGCCAGCCGCCGGTCATTGATGCCCCAAGTCCTCACCACTCCCCACACCCAAGCGCGCCGGACCCCATTTATTCTAACCCTTTGCAGAACCTCTCCCACAAAGCCATGATTGCACGTGTCCCCTCTATCCAGAGCAACACACACACACGTGTGTGTGTACATGCGAGCACACACTCACACATCCCTTGTTTCAGGACCGTGAGAACCTCACTCACTTTATTTAGGAAATCCTTGTCAACCTCGCTTAGGTTCCCCGGATGTGTTGGGGTGGGGAGGGGGGAGAGAGAGAGAGAGAGAGAGAGAGAGAGAGAGAGAGAGAGAGAGAGAGATACGTGTCCTGGGCTGATGGAGTTCAGTCGTAGCTGGCAGGTGCGGCTGGAAGCGGGGGAAGTGGGCGTGGCCAGTGGGAGCTCCCCTCCCCTCCCCGGCTGATAGAGTGGGGGCGGGCCTAAAGGTGGTCCCGGTTGAAGAGCAAGGGCGTGGCTAGTAAGAGCTCTTGAGGAATGGAGCAGAGGTGTGGCTAGTGGGAGGGGTTGACTGTAGGGTGGGGTGTGGCCAAGGAGAGCTCCTGGCTGATGGGGTCAAGGGCGTGGCTAGAGGTAGCCCCTGGGTGAGAGTGGGGGCGTGATTAATGGATGATTAAAGAGTGGGGCCATGCCTAATATGAGGTCCTTGGCTGATGGAGCCGGGGCAGGGCTCCTGGGACCACCTGGGCTGATAGAGCGAGGTCCCGGCTAGGACGAGGGCCTGGCTGGTGGCGAAGGGGCGCGGCTAGTGAGCCTCGGACTCGGTGGGGCGTGGCCAACGGAGCTCCCTGGACAGGCAGTGCCCAAGCAGGTGGGGGAGCATCCCTTATTGGACAAGGGCATGTGAAAACCCCAGGGAGCCGGCTTTCTCTCACAAATCTCACTGAGCCAGGAACTTCATGAGACACCCCCCCCTCCTCCTGAACTTCAAGTTAGCACTGGAAGACTTTTTCAGGCAGAATTTCAAAGTTTTATGGCAACTTTTCAGAAATCACAGAAAGAGAGGAGACAGCGACTGATGCGGATGAGCTCTGGGCAGAGAAGGGCCAGGGGTCTGGGACGTCGGGGCAGATCCACAAACTGGACGGAAGGACGTTAACAACCAGTGGAGAGCGGGATGCTATGGGGGTGTTTAGCCCCCCAAGTGGTGGGCAACACCCCCATCCCCCACGCGCGTCCTCGGGGAAGGAAACAAACGTCAACAGTAAGAAAATGTGGATGGCCAACAACACACAGGTGGCCTCTGAAGGTAAAAATACCCACTCAGACCCCCTGGACCCAGTCCCACCCATCCCACCCACCCCTACCCTGCCCCCACCCGCCAGGCAGAGATGTGGCAGCATTTGCTGGCTTGTAGCATTGGTCCTCTGGGCCCCTCCTCGAGGATTCTGCCCGGATTGGCTGGCACTGAAGGTAAAAGAACCTTCTAGATTGTCAGGGGAGATCAGAGGTACTCCCAAAGATTTTCCAGACTTGGGAGCTGCTGCCCTCTCAGAAGGAAAGTCTGTCATTCCCCTCCCCCAAGACATGCACCCTCCCGTGCCCCCCTCCCCCAAACACACTATATACACGCACAGGCCCCTCCCTCCTAGGCGGGGGTGGGCTCTCAGAGGTAGTGGAGGGAGAGAGCAGGGGGCTGCTGGAATGTGAGAAGTCTCAGGTCAAAACCGGCCTCCCCCGCCAAGTCTTAGGACTGCGCCCCAACTTCTCCCCTCCCTTCTCTGAGCTCCCAGAGCCTGAGTGGAGAGATTGGGGCCGATGTGCCCCCTTTGGGGCGAAACGAACTCCCTGAGGGCGGATGGGAAAGGGTCCATTGTAAGGGAAGTCATGGGAGGGGGGGTCTCCAGGAGAAGCGGAGTTTATGGGGTGGAGCAGGGTCCACTGTCCAGGGTTCAGAATGGAAGGGCCGCCCCACACCCCAGGAAGTTTCAAGGGAGGGTATGGAGGGGGGGAATTCAAAGTTGGAAGTGCAGAGGCGGTCACCTCTGGGAGCGGCAGGGGAGAATGGGAGACAGCTGGGATGCCAGAGGGTGGCTAAACCCAAGGCACAACCCAGTTGCGGTGGCGTCGTCTCTGACTCGTGGAGACCCCGTGTGCGTCCGCGCTGCGCTCCACGAGATTTGCCAATGGCTGTGACCTTCCGGAAGAAGATACCCAGGTGCCTCTGGGTGGGTTGGTGGCCCAACGCTGTTTGCACACTCAGAGGCTGATGGTGGGCGCTGTGGCCTTGATTTCGCCCTCGTGTCGCCCTCGTGTGACACAGAGTGGAACTGCACCACGGTGTTTTCTGAGCTGCAAACGTGACTGCTGTCCATCTCCGGGCCTTTCTTCTGCGGCGCCAATGGGTGCGGTTTGTGGCAGGGCGATTAAACCCTCTGCGACACCAGGAGCTCCTGGGAAACCGGCAAACGTTAACCCACTGGTGTGGCGGCAATTCCGGCTCCTGGTGCCTCTCTAGGGCAGAGCCCAGTTGCTCCCCAGGGTGTCTGAGGCGTTACTCTTTTCGGCCTCATCTTTCTGCTCAGAGCGGCTGATGAGTTAGCAGTCAAGAGCTTAGCTGTGATAGCAACCAGGATTTCTTTGAAAAAAGATTAAAAAAAACCAAAACACCTCACTGTCCTTGAGTCGTTTCTGACTCATGATGACCCTAGAGAACAGAGTAGAACTGCCCCTGTGGGTTTCTGAGGCTGAAAATCTTGCCCCGGAACAGAGAGCCTCATCTTCGTGGCGCGGAGCAACTGGTGGGATCGAACCGCTGACTTTGCGGGTAAGCAGCTCAGTGCGCAGGCCAAAGGTGAAATCCCAGGCCGAGGGGAGGCTTTGGGGTGGAGAGAAGGTGACTCTCAGGAGAAGGGGCAGAGGGAGGGTCAGGGTAGGGCAGGCTGAGTCTGGGGAGGGACAAGACCTGGCCGGGCCTCCGGGGCAACCAGGTCCACAGCCAGCGCAGAGAAGTCCACCGGGAGTGCGTCTCCGCGGAGGGGCCGATCCCGGGGGTCCTAGAAGCCCCTGATGTGGCAGTAGGCCTCGAGGCTGGCGAAGAGGATGTAGAGGAACCAGAGACCCAGGAAGAGCGCGGTGGTGGCCAGTTTGGGGCCACGGGGCCCACCCAGCTCGCCCCCGATGTGCGGCCGACGACGGTAGAGCAGCACGGCGATGCCCACGAAGGCGAAGACGGTGAACAGCGTGACGGAGAAGGCCAGCGTGCCCGTGCGCACCTCGAACGCGCGGCCCTGCGCCGCCCAGTACACGGCGGCCACCGACCAGGCCACGCCCAGGCCCAGGAACACGTTCACGGCGTTGGAGCCGGTCACGTTGCCGATGGACGCGTCCGCGCACTGGTCCTGCAGCGCCGCCACCTTGCTGGCGAACGTGTCTGCGGGGACAAGGGCACAGGGGCTCAGAGGGGCGCAGGTGAATCGCCCCGCCCTGGGGTCTGCGTCACATCCCACCCAACCCCAACAAAATCGATTCCGACCCACAGGGACCCTACAGGGCAGGGTAGAACTGCTCTGTGAGTTTCCCAGGCTGTAACTCTCCCTACATGGGAGTAGACAGCCTCATCTTTGTCCCACAGGGCAGCTGGTGGGTTCGAACTATTCTTCTTGTGGTTAGCAGGCCAACCCAGTCACCAAGGATCCCCAAGATGACCCAGACCCAGTGCAGCTGCAACAGTCACCAAGGATCCCCAAGATGACCCAGACCCAGTGCAGCTGCAACCAGGGTCCCTTCTAAAGCCTCGCCCCCATTCCCTTAGCTGATGAAAGGTTTGCACTGCCCCATGCAAAGTCTGAGGCCAATCCTCCGCCTGCTTTCTCTGGGATTCGTCTGCATGCTGGGGGGGGGTGTGGGATCCGGACCACAGCCTGTTTCCTGGGGGGCCTCCCCACCTGCACACCCTGATTTGGATGAGACCCATGGTCTGCATTCTGGATGGCCCTGCTCGCTACTGTCTCTGGGACCCGCTGCCTGCTGCTTGTGACCTACTGCCTGATTGCCTTCAGACCGGATGGTGTCGGCGTCATAGGGGATGTCCAGTCCGATCCGGCTCATAGTGACCCGGTGTAGTCAGAACCAAACGCTGCCTGGGTCTCACGTCTGAGCCCTTGGCTGCACCCACTGTGTCAATCCCGTAAAGCCGTGACTGGAGTATAACGCCTCCTCTTTCTCCCAGGGAGTGGCTGGTGGTGTTGAACCGCTGACCTTCCGGTTAGCAGCCCCACTTGGAACCACTAGGCCACCAGGCTTCCTCTCTTGAGTCTGTGAGCCCTGCTGGCTGCTCTCTAGGGGACCCGCTGCGGCTTTCTGAGGGATCTATTTGCACACTGGGGACTCCACCACCTGCTTTCTATGGCTCTCGCTGGCTGCTTTCTGTGGGGCCCATTGTCTGTTTTTCTAGAGGCCCCACCGTCCAACTGGTACCTGGCTGGGCAAGATGAGTGTCTGCCCCCTGCTGCACCCATCCCACCTCCCAAGGCAGCCCTTTCTCAGCCCCCCAATCCCTTTGTTTTCTCAGGCGTCCAGACTGTTCTCGGTGGCCCAGTCCTGCAATGTTGTGCCCACCCAAGTCTCTGGCAGGGTGGGTGGGCACCAGAGAACCACGGCCCAGACTCCTCGTCCCTAGTGCCTGCTCTCTGAGTCCCCTCTCTCATTCCAAACCCAAACCCACTGCCGAGGAGTCGACTCCCTCGAGCCAGTAAAGCCTGCATGGAAGCAGACAGCCTACGCTTTCTCCCTTGGGAGGCTGGTGGGTTTGAACTGCTGCCTTCAGGGTGAGTGGCACAATAGGGCTCCTTACCACCTGCCATGCACATGGATAGAGAAAGCAGGGGTGCCGGGCCCCAGCGGCCTCATCTCCCAACTGGCATGAAGAATGGCAGCCTCTGCCACCTTGTTTCTGTGGGGCCCTTCCTCAGGCGGGCCTGGAGAGGTGGGCGGGACGTGACCAGTGCACTTCTGTGTAGCTGTGGAAGGCCTGCCAACTGACTTCCTCCTCCCACGTCCATGACCTTAGAGAACGCCCTGCCATCAAGTGGATGCCGACTCCTCGCGGCCCCACAGGACAGGGCTAAACTGCCCTGTGGGCTTCTGAGACGGTCCCTTCTTCCGGGAGTAGAAAGCCTCGTCTGTCTCCTGAGGAGCTGGTTTCGAACCACTGACCTGGTGGGTAGCAGCACCACGTATCATCGCTATGCCCCCTGGGCTCCCTCCCCATCTTCTTAGTTCTTGGAGGATCCTGAGCCTGGTCGCTGTCATACCCCACTGATATGGATGCTTCCAGGGAATCTTCTATGTGGTTTCGTGGGTACCCACAAGGGACTTCCACCACCACCACCACCACCCATCTCTTCAAGGGCCAATTCTACAGGATGGATCCCTGGCCTGGCTGCCACCCTTCCTCACCACCTTAGGTCTACAGCACACGTCTCTTCTAGGGAGGAGACAGCCACATGGCTTCTAAGAGATGCCCCTCCGCCTCATTTCTATGTTGACCCAGAGCCATATTTCTACGGCACCCACTGTACAGCTTCCGCCAGGCACCTTCGTATTCCCCAACCATCTCGCGCTTAGGCCTTGCTTACAAGGCCTCGGGGACCCCGCCACAGCTACCAGTGCCCCCAGGGGTTACCAGGAATGGAGGTGCCCAGGGCTACAAAGACAACAGCGTTGACGGAATCCTTGAGGCCCACGGTGCAGCCGAAGTGGGAGGCGAGGTCCCCGATGAGGGCGGTGAGCAGGCCGATGACCAGGATGCAGACGCCAAAGCAGGCCCAGCCGTGGCAGTATTCAGTGGGGGGCACGCAGGCGAACAGCACCTTCCAGAACACCGTCAGGAAGTGCATCACGTAGTCAAAGCAGGACGGCAGACGCTCCTCCCGGGACCCGTCCTCCTCCTCCTCCTCGTCCCCTGTGGGCACACGACTCAGCTGGGGCACACGCACGTGCCTCCCTTGTCCTCACCCACGGAGGCCCTGTCTGGTGCCCAGCCACCATGTGTCCCATAGAGGGTCCCTGCTTTCCCAGAATCCTTGGGGGTGGGCGTGGCCACTGAAATATTTACTTTCCCAGAAGCCCTGGCAGCTAGGTGCATATGTATAAATGTTTACCCTCCCAGAATGCCTTGAAGCTAGAGGAGACTCCACGCTCCCCAGAACCCTTTGCAACTAGAAGTGGCTATGTCTCTGGCTAAGTATATATTTACATATATGTATTTCTTTCCCCAGAAGCCCTTGCAACTAGCAATAGCCATGTATACAGCTAAGAAATATTCACTTTCTCAGATTCATCACAGCTAAAGGTAGCCGTGTGCCTGCCTAGCTAAAGATACTCCCTTTCCCAGAATCCCTTAAAGCTGACAACAGCCAGGTCTTCAAAAAAGTCACTTTCCCAGCACGCTTTGAAGTCAGGTGGTCAAAAAAAGGAAAAAACACAAAAACTCCCTGTCATTGCACTGATGCCGACGCATAGCGACCCTGCTGGACAGGGCAGAACTGCCCATGCGAGTTCCCAAGGGAAAAGGAGTAGAAAGTCCAGTCTTCCTCCACCGGGGCTACTGGTGGCTTCAAACTACTGACCATTCTGCTGGCAGCCCCACACCTAACCCACTGTGCCACCAGGGCTCCTTCAGAGGTGGCCGTACCTCCAGCTGAAAATCTTCCTTGTCCCAGAAACTCTCGCCGTTAGCATCAGCCATGAGCTCAGCTAAGAATCTACCCCATTTCTAAAGTTCCCTGTAGCTAGTTGTCGCTATACACTCGGCGAAAGAGAGTCACTTTCCCAGAAGCCCTGGAAGTTAGACAGAGCGTGTCCTCCAATAAAAACATTCCCTCAGAGCGTCCGGAGTAAGAAACCTACACACACACACACACACACACACACACACACACAACATTCACTTTTCTCGAATCCGGTGGCGCTAGCAACAACCATGTCCCTAGCTAAAAATATCCCCCTTCCCAGAGGCCCTTGCAGCTGCCGTCACCATCTACTCCAAGCTAAAAATACAAACATTCTCAGAGCCCTCACAGCTAACAGGGTCCGCCCACGGGCCCTGACTTTCCCAGAATCCTTTGCAGCTCGAGACAGTTGTTCCCCTAGATACACTCAATCATTCCCAGAATCCCCTTGTGGCTAGGGGTGGTCGTGTCCTCGGCTAAACACGTGCCTTCCCAGGGTCCCTTGCAGCAGTGGCGGAGACCAAGCAGGCTTTCCGATGTGGGAGCGGTGCGATGGGGGGTGTGTGGGTTTGGCTTCATATCGTGGATGCTCCCTCCTCGGCGCTGTTTTGTGAACGCAACTGCAGAGACCACACCCAATTCTGCCACCCAGCCATTGCTGACTCACAGTGACTCTAGAGGGCAGGGCAGCACTGCCCTGTGGGTTTGCAAGACTGTCACTCTTCACAGGGACAGAAAAAGCCTCCTCTTTCTCCCAAGGAGAGGCTGGTGGTGTCTTGCTGTGAGCAGCCCTTGATATAACCCTGCTGCCACCAGGGTCCCTGTGAACTCAGTTAGGGCCCAGCGGCAAAGGGCAATCCTGCTGGTGTCATGGTGACAATTGGGCACGATCCCAAAGAGCAGCAGTTCGAACCCACCAGCCGCTCTGTAGGAGAACACTGGGGCTTTCTACTCCTGTCCCAGAGACTCACGGGGCCACTTCTACCCTGTCTTACAGGGTCCCTATGAGTCGGCATCGACCCGTTGGCAGTGAGTTTGGGTTGGAAATGTGAGTTTGATCTCTTGTGCCTCCGTCAGCTGAGAAGGGTAGGTGACAGACACCTTTGTCAGCCTGGCCCGAGAAGGAGCATCAGGCGAGCGTGTGCCATGGAAGGGTCAGAATCCGGAAGATCGGGAAGAAACACTGTAGCCCTCGCACCGCAGAGCCACTCAGGGGCCAAGTCAGCCAGCCACTTTCCATGGGGCTCCTCCCTCCTCTCCAAGAAACACCCCAAGATCTGCCACCTAGTGGCCGAGATTGACTGGCCATTTAGGGTGGGGAGTGGGTGGGTGACCACCCTGGGCAGAGGTCCCTTTGTCCCTTTTCTCCCTCTCTTAGCCACTTAGCTCCATAAAGAAATCCCAGAGCCGGTGAAAAAAGTTCTGCTGCTGCGGTTTCCGGCGCACAACACACAGGATTTCTTCCACTGAAAAGCGTGCTGAAGCCTGACTCCGTCCTCATGGGCGACTGCACTCAGTCACGCACTGGTCTGAGTCTCCTTATGGGGCGTTCAGAACAAAATAAAACAAAACGGTCCAATAGAAACAGCAGCCTCCGGGATCCGATGAGCCAGGTAAATTCCAAGGAGAAATTCAAGGACAGTTCAGAAGGCCATGGTGACGGTTTGGGAGGAATCCTTGAGGGCGGAGTAGGGAGCCCTGGTGGCGCTGTGGTGATTCATTGGGCTGCAGGGTCAGCAGTTCGAAACCACCCGTGGCTCCACGGGAGAAAGAGGAGGCTTTCTACTCCCAGAGAGATGCCGTCTCAGAAACCCACAGGGGCAGTTCTACCATGTCCTAAGGGTCGAGATGAGTCCAAATTCAACTCGATGGCAGTATGTTTGGGGGTTTGGGGGTGTGGTGGGTTATGGCGTGATGGGTTGCTGACCCCACGGGCAGCAGTGTGTACCCACCAGCTGCTCTACAGGATAGAGATGATTCTTAGCCTCAGAGACCCCCTGGGGCAGTTCTAGTCTGTCCTATAAGGCCACTCAAACACACTCACGCAAACACGCCCAGTCAATTCTGACTCCTAGCAGCCCTATGGGGAAGGATAGAACTGAACTTCCCACGAGTTTCCCAGACCGTCACTCGTGATGGGAGTAGAGAGCCCCGTCTTTCTCCTGTGGAGCAGCTGCTGTGTTGAACCGCTGAGCCTGGGGATCACAGCCCAGCTGGTAACCATTAGGACACCAGGGATCCTCGTACTACCTGCAGATTGGCGCTGACGCTGAAGAGACACGTCAGGTCACCAAAAGCCAGAAAACACCGAGCGCAGAAAGCATCATGAGCCATCGAGTGGAATCCGACTCACAGAGACCCTACAGGATTGAACAGGATAGAACCGCCCCTGGGAGTTTGAGACTGTAAACCCTTCATGAGAGCAGAGAGCCTCATCTTTCTTCCGAGGAGCTGGCTGCTGGCTTTGAACCGCTTACCTTGTGGCTAGCAGCCCAATGTATGAACCCTATGCTACCAGGGATCCCCTTACCACAGTGGTTCTCAGCCTTCCTAATGCCGCGACCCTTTCATACCGTTCCTCACGTGGTGGTGACTCCCCAACCTTAAAATTACTTTCATTGCTACTTCATCACTGTCATTGCGCTACTGTTATAAATCGGGCAACCCTGGCGAAAGGGTCGTTCAACCCCCAAAGGGGTCGCCGAGACCCCCGCGATAAAGCAAGCATCTCAGTAAGTGGAATCACGCGAATTCCTGGTTTGTAGCCATGCAAGCTGCGTTGACACTCAGAACCAGACTTGCCACCATCGAGCCGATTCACAGGGACCCCATAGAGCAGGTCGCACTGCCCCTGTGGATTTCAGAGACTGTCACCTGTGGGAGACTGACACGGAGGGAAACAGGACGAGGACTCTCTTCCCTAACTGATCCCAGAGGGAGTCTGGAAAGCTGGTCTTCCACGGTAGGAGAGCCTCCACTTTGGTCAGTTAGAGGTAAAGTCCAAGTACATGATCCTGCTTTAAACATTGTTCCCACAGATTCCCCCCTGAACAGCTATGCTGCCTTCAAGTGAGCTCCTGGAGGATGATATCTCCCTGTAGAAGCAGACATTCTTGTTATGCCCTCCCGAAAAGGCACCCATCCCCCTCATGCCTTCCCCTAATGCAGAAATTAGGTTTCCTCACCTGTGAGCTCAGGGACTTTACTGTGGTTACCACCCACCTTGTGATGTAACTATTGAATATGCATGACTTATGGCTATAAATACCCCGAGACAGTAAACACACCCTCTCTCTTCTCCCGCTTCCACGTGGACCACCAAGAGGGGCTGAGGTGGGCATGCTACCATGAACCGTGTCTGACTCCTTTATTTTATCTTCTCTCCTACCTCTCCCTCCTGTCTTCTCTGACTTTACTATAATCGTTATCGATGATCACCTACAGACCCTGCAGTTATAGAGGCTGGTTTCCTCTGACAGCCGCCCTTTACTAGAATAGAAAGTCTCATCTCTCTCCCACGGAGCGGCTGGTGGTTCTTGAACTACTGGCCTTGGAGTTAGCAACCCGGCACGTCACCACGCTGCCACCAGGAGCCGGAATGGGACCTGGCCAGGGCCAGGGCAGAAGAGCCCTCCCTCTTGGGCTGGGGGTCCACCTCCCGTGGACTCTCCCGGGGCCTCTCCACGCTCTGCTTTCAATCGTGCTGTGGATCCCCACGGTCCTCAGGCCCAAGCCGAGCCTTCGGACGGGCCATCCGGGGACCTGCCCAGCCAGCCCTGCTTAATGGCACCGCTGCGGCTCCTTCCCTTCATAGGGAGCCAGTGGCGGTCATGCTTGCCAGTCTGCGGTCACCCCTGCCCCAACCCAGAGCATCCAATGTGCACCCTTCAATCGGCACCTCAACCTCTCTGACCCTCCGGGGGCTTCCCTGCGAGGGGCGGACTCGCCAAACGTGCCCCTGGAGATGGCTGTCAGGATGAAATGGTTCTGCCCGAGCGAGGTGCTTGCAACACTGCCGGGCACAACTCAATAACTCTGACTGGAAGCAGAAAGGCCCGTCCTCCTGCAGATGATACGTGGTTTCAAACTGCCAGCCAGGGCTACCCGAAGAGAGAGCCGTCCCGGCCGAGGACAGCGTGCTTGGTAGAGCAGGGGAAGACCCTCAAGGGGATGGCCTGACCCGGTGGCCGCAACAATGGGCTCAGACATAAGGCTCTCAGGTGGGTGGGTG